TAGTGGCTACCATATTGGACAGGCAGGGAGAAAATAGATCCTTGCTCTTCATTGCAGCATTCATATCCCATAAACTTGGCTCTCACATACTGTTCTAACCTGTTTCCAAAACATGAGTCTTGACTCCAAGGGGACTGATGCTGAGCACACCTAAGGACATCTGCTCCCAAACCCTGGCTCCAGGTTCAAATTCATTGCTTCCATTCTTATGGCTGCATATTTGAGTTTTACCTGTATTTCCCAACGCAGGTCCAGTTCTACTCTGCTGGTGCGTGCTCTCTGGCTGCCCCGTCTCTACGGCTTGTGAGAAAAGGCTTAATAAACCTTGGACCTGGGCCTGTCCAGGAAGGACGACCTCAGCCTCTCATAGGACTATTTCCTTGTAAACTGCTATGTGGAACTATACATGGTCTGCAGGTCTAGGAGTTGGCCTTGGGCCTCCAGGACTAGAATAAAATAAAAAGAATAAAAATAAAAATAAATCAATGGGAAACAGAGGCTGTGCCTTCTCTGTGTTAAGACCACCTTGGCTCTCATCTGTGGAAGCTATACATGCCCCTCTATGGGGGAGGGGACAAAAGAAGCTGTGTACCTTTATAATTTCTGCACCTCCCTCAGAGATGAAAACGCTATACTTCTTAGCTCTTGCCCCGTATCCAACTGTAAAACTAAGTTAACAGTTAACACAGGGGTTTTCTTTGTTTGGTTTTTTTTTTTGCATCTTCAACTTGTGTGGTTCTGCATATATAATCTCTCCTGAGTCCCAAGTGCTCAGAAGCATTTAGAATTTGCATTGGTAAATATCTTTTGCAGATCCACATTTCAGTTGGCTCCATTTTTTTTTTTCCAACTAGACTCAATGCTGTCCAATCATGAGGCTTAATTAAAAGTGAGCTTGGCTCTCCACTGGTTTCCCTTTGGTCTGTAAGAGCTATGGCATCTCCTGGCACAGACCCCCCTCTTTCTGGAACTAGAGTTCTAGTCTTTTGAGGATTAGAGCCAAAGGCTCTAAAATCACATTTTAAGTAAAAAAAGATAATTTTTCCAAGAATAAAGATGAGAGAGAGAAAGAGAGGAAAGAGATATATATTTTTAGATTATGAAAGCAATACAAATTTCAGAGTCAAGATGGTATATTAAAAGCTCATGCTACAATCCCCCCTTCCTCAGGCCCTAGAAACTTGAAGGTACTAGAAAGTACATTTTTAAGTTGATATAAAGCAAAGCTTGAAATCATGGAGGAGAAATCTTTAGGTGTCAGAAAACCACAGCAGTGAGGGGGCATGAAGCTCACTACACCTGCTGGGGATCTGGGACAGGTGATGTGGGGCGGGATTGGTTTCAAAACCCAACATGGCTGGACTCCAAGTGGCGAGGCCACAGGCATGATGGGGAACTGGAACCAGGTTCCTTGTGTGAAGCCTGCAAGCAGGAAAGTGCATATGGGATGGGAGTGGGGGGCACTTGATGTGCATCATCCGTAGCCAAGGGGTAGAAAGTCAAACTGAACTCTAACATAACACTTGGCCAGAGCTGTGACATCCCAGAAAGTTCAAGAGGAGGCAAACACAAAAGCACCTCACAAAATGGTACCACAACTGAAGGCACGTGAAGGCAAGAAGTCTCCAAGAGAACTCACTGCCTTAGCAAAGAACTTACTAGCAACAATGGGGAGGCCTGGGAGGAAATACAGCACCTTAAAAGGCAGAATATCAACTCAAACAGAAAAAGTCAGAGTTGAGCTACTCAATAGAACAATCTGAAAAAGGATTTGAAGTCAATACACTTAAAAACGTGCATATCTTAAAACAAAAACAAAAACAAACCTCAAAACAGAAATGAAGAGAATATTTTCCCCATAATCTCAACTCCGGATGTAAACTGTGGTTCGAATTGTGGAATAAACTTTTCCAGACTCAGTGATGCTTTTTACAGAAAAAGACCTTTTTACATAAATGGGAACATACTATATACACTGTGCCGTCTCCCCCAATCCCTCGCTTCAAAATATTATCACACTAATGTTCTCACATAAATACTGATATAGATTGAATGTCTATGTTCTGTTAAAATTCATAGTTGCCCTCAATGTGATGGTATAAGGAGGTGGAGCCTTTCATGGGTGCTTAGGTCATGAGGGTGGAGCTCTCATGAATGGAATTAGTGCTCTGAAGGAGGCTCCAAAGAGCACCCTGTTCCTTTCCACCATGTAACACAGTGACATGATGGCCACCTATGAACAGGAGGTGGGCCCTCATCAGACACCGAATCTGGTGGCACTTTGATCATGAACTTCTCAGCCTCTAGAACCGTGAGAAATAAATTTCTATTGTTTAGGGGACCTGGGTGGCTCAGTTGGTTAAGCATCTGCCTTCGGCTCAGGTCATGATCCCAGGGTCCTGGGATCGAGCCCTGCATTAGGCTCCCTGCTCAGCGAGGAGCCTGCTTATCCCTCCCCCTCTGCTGCCCCCTCTGCTTGTGTTCTCTTGCTCTCTCAAATAAATAAAATCTTTAAAGAAATAAATTTCTATTGTTTATAAGCCACCTAGTCTGTGGTATTTTGTTATAGGAGCCCAAAGATAAATACATAGGTCTCCTTTATCCTTTTAAAGGGAGGATTCTGTCCCATTGCATGAAATGACATAGTTCCTTTAGCCACCATCCTCGAAATGGACATTGGGGCTGTTTCCAACATTTTCATATTACAAACCACGCCAGAGTGACAATTGTCCTGCAGTCATTTTTGCACATCTGGATGATTATTTCTTAGGACAAGTTTCTAGAAAGGGAATTATTGACTTGAAAATTACACACATTTAAAATTCTAATAACTACTATCAGACTGTCCTCCAGAAAAACTGTACCAATTTATACTACTGAGTGGCTTTAAATGCGAACATTTCTAGCCAGAGATTTTTTTTTTTTTTTTAAGTTTAGAGTAGGTCAAGTTACCCGAGATTCACTTACTTATCTAAGAAAAAAGAAGAAAACTCACAACTCCAATAACCCTCTCAAGGCAACAAGAACATTTAACTGTGTGTGTACACGCACAAAACAAGTTCACACCATGGCACAGGCTTGGTGTAGGTAACACTGCAGGTCTGCAATAATCATACTCTGGTCCCTATTTTGAATTCTGCACCCCCCACCCCCACCCCCACCCCCAGCAACCATTGCTGTCCTCAGGTCCTCCATGAAGAAAAGCAAATACTTTGTCTAGGCTTTACTAAAACTTCTGGTCTGTTCACTCCTAAATATGATGTCAGTGTGAAAGGAACCCCCTTAACCCCCTTTCACTGTAGATGAGCAGGATAATTCAAACGAATCTGGTTTTCCCGAGGAAAGGCTCATTATAGACTACGACATTCTCCGTGAAGTATGTTTTCAGCAAAGCAGCCATAAAGTGATCTAGAGACAAAGGCAAATGCTACCAACGTGAAATTCAGGAATTACTACAGTATCACGTATTCCAAATAATTCACAAGTAATCACATCATGTCAGATTTAAAGAAAACTTTATATTCCTGAACTGCTTTCAAATAAGAGATAATCTGGAAATGTTTAAAGTTGAATTAAAATCAGACAAATAACAGCTTTTTCACTCTAATTTTTAATATTTTAAGCATCCTTTTGAAAAGATCCTACTCAAGCTATTTATCTTCTTAAAGATCCTTAATACTATTTTTTTCCCCTTGCTTTTTCAAGATGCCTGTGTAGCATCAGAGATTGAGAAGGTTTAAACATAACAGGATATAACAGGGCTCACCTATTTCCAACTCTGCTCACAAACCAAATTCAACATCAACCAATTTCCTATGAGATGCAATTTCTCTCCACTAAAACACTTAGTGCAAAATATGTGCAATATCCTGGCTAAATCATCTCCCATGCTCTACAACACACACAAGCATGCACTTCAGGTCATCAGTTTTAATTATCCACACTCAAGAAGGGAAGCAACAACAGTAATTATTCAAAATTGTGGATAAAGCAGAGAAATTCACATTTGATTTTGGAAGATGTTTGGAGTGGGGAGGGAGTTGGTTATTGTAGGACAGCAAAATGACCTTTCTACTTCAAGTTTTTCTTGGGTGATTGTAACCTTTGCTTTCCAAGGTATGCACAGATTCATTCACACAAACATCTGACAGGAAATTCCTTTGTAGAGAATGCACAAGGGAGAAACCAAATACCACATGAAGACAAGTTTCTTTAATTTCCAAGGGGCAAACTAATATGAACATCTTCAACTGTGCCCCAAACATGAGCATCTTCACTGATTTCAGATAAAAATCCATCTACTGCCAGTTCCATTGTGGGAAACCTTTAGAACAGGTGGTCCTTACTAAAGAATCATCTACCCACCCTGTCCCATCTTACTGGTATGTTATGTGCCTACATCTAAGAAGAACTAAGTATCTGAAAACAAAATAGAAATGGTTATCTCTTTCATTGATTAGAGTCCTGTTTATGATTGTCTACCTCACAGAATTGTTACAGAGACACACTAGGCCATACATCAAGAGTCTTGGAAACAGTACCTGGAATACATGCATATATTTAATAAAAACACCAGTGATTAACAGTGTGTGTCAGCAAAATCCCTCACACACATGCGGCACTGGGCCTTTTTACAAAATCCTTCCAATGTATGGTATTATTTCAACTGTTCAACCCAATGTCATAAAATGATAAATCTGAGACCGGCAAACAAATCTTTCACCTTTAAGTCCAACACATTCTTCTTGATAGCCCATTCTATACCATGCTCGGCCTCATGACATGACACGGCCCCCAAATGTGTTTTGGTTGCACTCCAAAGGGGATGCAGTCAACATTTTGGTTTATTATTACCTAGAACCAAGAAGCAGTCAGTGTTCGTTTAACTGAAGATACAACAGTGAGTAGTGAAAAAGCACCCTCAAGTTCTCTGTGGCTGGACCACAAAATATCGAAGCTGTAACTTTCGAATCTCCATAATTTGGTGGATTATGACCTACCTTAGCCGTCTCAGCTTCTGCTGGCAGTCGCTTGGGGGTTCCTTTTTGGTCAAACACCTTCTGAAAATTTTTGTTTTTAATGGATTGAGATTCAACACCTTCCCCTTCAATTTGCAGTTTAATGCCTTCGGCCCGGGCAGAGTGATCAATACCCCGTGGATTCAAGCCACAGTGGAGAGCTAGGAGAGAGGGGAAAAATTTAACTCCAAACAAGTCCGACAAAGAAGGTGTCCACGACAGATGGTATTTCATCTGACCTAAGCAGGAAGAAACAAGGCAGCAGCAAGTTTAGAGGTGGTGTGATAACTATGGGAAATCCTCTGGGGAGAAGGGAGCATGGCGTGGAGGGCACCCTGAGCTCTCAAGTCAAAAACTTCAGTACAAACCCAGAAACCATCACTTCCAAGTTGTCTGACCTTGAGCAAGTTAGTAATTCCCCCATCACAGATGAGAATACCAAATTAGGCAACTTCGTTACTGCCTCCCACACACGCAACTAGTTCAACCCCTACGGTTTAGCTTCTAGTCTCTGCCTCCATCTGGAGAGCACTCCTTCCCTCCCCCTCTGACTCTATTCAAGCACCCGCTGGAGTGCACCCTCTTGCATTCACCGCACGACTATTTGCTGAGCACTTACTATGTGCCATCCCTGGGTTAGATCCTGAAAACACAGATTTTTATATGACAGATGTTCCCTTCAAAGATGCTATGGTCCAATAGGAGAGACAGAAAAAAAAAAGACAAAAGGACAAGTGATTTTGAACGAGTTATTATCGCTACATGAAAGAAGGAAAGACCAGAGTGGAGTGTTCCAAGGAGTCAAGCCTACTGGCTTCTGACTTTTCCTGTTTTACCCTCTCCACATCCTCTAACATGGATACCCCTGCAAAATCTACAGCCCATTTCCTGAGCATGTTTATTCATTCAACAAATACTTACTGAGCTCCTCCACTGTACCCAGTATCCTGAAAGAAATAGCAATGAATGTTATGGGAACCATACATTTCTCCCAGATGACCTCCGTGAACCACTAGGGGTGTGGGTGGGTGGGTGTCTCTCTCTCTTTCACTAGGAGTGTGTGAGGGTGTGTGAGGATGTGTGTGTGTGTGTGTGTGTGTGTGTGTGTAGTAAATTATCTCACCTCCCTGGGACCCCACCCCTTCAAATTTTGTGAATTTGAACCCTTTGGCCTCAGAGGACTCAGGGCCAGAGCCTTCCCTCCCTCCATCCCCCTTAGGACTCTACCTCACTCATAACCTTTTACTCAATATCTTCAGTATCCCCCCCTTTCTCTTTTAGCCAACTGCTGTGATTCTACAATTCCTCCCTTACTTGGCATCCCATTCAGGTCAGGGTTTCCTCCTACCTGGCTTCCAAGAGAGTACGTGACACCTGAGAGACGAGGGTGAGCTTCCCAGAAGTGAGGCAGGGGTTCCCTCCCCACTCTCCATGCTCTCCTTAACAGGAATCATCCATTCCCACACTCCAATGCAGTTAACCTGCTGGTGACGCCCAAATGTTAACTGCAGCTCAGAAAAACCCGTTAGGAGCTTCAGACGAAAGTGAAACTTGGAACTCAAGATCCCAATTTCAGAGTATCACTGATACCTCAAATTTAACATGTTCAAAGCTGATTCTTGGTTTTTCTACCACTCCCCCCCAAAATGCCTTTTCCAGTGCTCTCCAGTTACACAGAAACTGAAGAGTCATCCTTGGCAGGGCGCTCTCCACGATTTGCCACAGCCCTTCCATCTCTCGCCAGGCCCAGCAAGCTCTACGCCCACAGTGCTGCTCCAATCCATCCATGTGGTTCCATCTGCACTGCCATCACCCTGGTCCGAGCCACCCACGTCTCTCATCCACACTGACTAGCCCAACTGCTCTTCCTCGCTTGAGCCCTGAAACCCCATCTTTAAAAAATGTACAGGTCGGATTGTGAGACCCTTTGGCTTAGAACTTTTTAATGGCTTCATTTTATACCTACATCGTTCAAAAACTGTAACATGGCTAACAAGGCCCCTGCATTACCTGTCCCCTTCCTGCTTTTCCAACTTCATCACCCACATATCCCTCATTTACTCTACTCTGACCACACACTTCCTTTTCACACTTCCTACTTCTTGAACACATCAAGTTCTTTCACACTTCCCGGATTTTGTATGTCATTTCTTTGCCTAAAATGTTCTCCCCATTCCTCACCTAACTCCTACTCATCTGTCAGGTTTTGGCTTAAAGAACACTTCTTCAGATAGGTCTTCCCTTAATCCCCTTCCTCATCCCCTGCCCCCACCCCATGTTGGATCATTATGCCTGGAACAGTGAGTATTCAAATATTGAATGATCTTAAACTACTTGTACAAAGGTCTTTGTGCATGTGGTCTTATTTATATCCTTCAAAATGAAAATTATCTGTGAATTTCTCTTCTAGCTTCTAAGATTCTTAGAGCCAAGAACCAGCCTATTTCATGGTGCACAGTAGACATTCAACATGTATTAGTTCACGCCTCCTCCCTTACGCTTTGTGCTAGATCTCAAATGATCTTCATAAAAGCTCGGTGAGATTAATTACATTCATTTCACAGACAGGGGAAATGAGACTCAAGGTGCATAGTCACAGAAAGTGATGCAGGTATCTACTGGGGATTACAAAGATCAAGCATCATTTAGGATATGGATGATTTCAAGCTTTGGATGAGCAAAACCAAAATAGATTAAATAGTAAGGAAAATTATTAGCTTTCAGAACAGGAAGTTCAGTAATGGTAAAAGTCCAGAGTTTGTGGATTTGCCAGCTCAATAGGGTCATCGAGGATTCTGATTTTTTTTTTCTTCATCTTTCCATTCTGCTATCCAGAACATCACCTATGTATGTCCTAAGTCTGGGTCCCCTCATGGCACCTAGAGTTACAAACTTCTGGTTCTCATCTAGCAATAGTGACAGTCAATGGTTGACATTGTTCTCTTTCCCCTAATCCTCCTCCAAACTTTCATTTTATCTCACAGCCCAAAATGAATCACACACCCATTAATGAACTAAAACCCTGGCAGTGGAGATAGGGTTACCCTTAAACCAGCTAGCCTTTCAGCTAAAGTTCCATTCCTCAGACCACACTGCTGTTATTCAAGAAGGCAGGGGCAGAATGGATGTTGGAGAACCAATCACAATGCCCACTTGAGGCAGTGGTAGAGAATTTAGTAGCCAAAGTCTGTAAGAGCCGGACACTAATTACTGTTAATATCAAATCAGCTTCTCCATCTCCAAAGAATGACCTATTTGTAATGGATATTCAAAACGTTAAAATCATGATTATATAAAAAAAAAAAGTTTGCTTGTAAAGGGAGATGAAAAATTAACATGGGATAGATTTGGGCATTGGAGGAAGAGCAACATATAGCTTTGATCTTTCTCTCCAGCATGATTACCTGGCCACTTCCTGCCTTGAAATTCACAGTCTCCGAATACCACTGACTTGCTGGTAGCTTCTGGTAACCTCCTGTTCTCCTTCCCCACCAAATCAGGCTCTCATACTTCCTTCATCTTTGCTCAGGCTGGTCCCTCCTCTTAGAAAGAGATTCTACTCTGCCCCAGTCTTACTTGCTCCTTTGGGAGGCTAAGTCCATGCACCCCATGTGTCAGCTTAGACCCTCTGAAAGCCTTCTAGGGAGTTTCTGGCTACTAGAGCAAGAACCACTGGGATATGCTTCTTCCATGTACATAGTACCCTGGTTCTTCATCTCCCTCACTCTATCGAGGAGGTCTACCTCACTGATCTGTATACCTCTCCTACCACAACTACATGTTCCTCAAGGCAGGCCCTACCCCTTGGTCACCTCCATGACCTCCACTCCCCAGTCTAGAACCTGGCACATAATAGGCCTTTAAGAAACATTGGATCAGCTGCTGAATGAACCAGCAATCTCTTCTCTTTATACAACTGTGCCTTAAATCAAAAGGAAACTTCTCTCTGCTGGTAAATACCTTGCGTTTAAAATGTAAGGTAACTATAAACATGAAACAGAATATGATGTTTGGACTTTCTACACACGTAGCCACCTTCCTCACACAAATATTTTAATCCTCCGTAGCTGTTCCCTCCTCGCCTGCAAACCCAGTAGTTGATTTAGGTTTTGTGCTTGGGTTTATTTAAAACCATTTCTGACAGGCTTTGCTTTGTTTTCCCTGGAATTTCATGTCCCTAATATTTACAAATCAAGCAACTTTCAAATGGCCTCTTTACAAGCTGTGACCTTCATTTCATTGTTCATCATGTAAAAGGAGCCCCATCTGAGTTCTCTTTTCTGTCCTCATCACTGTCCTTTCTTGTTTTCACTGACGATATTTACTCAATTTAATGGGCTCAGCAGCTCACAGGTCAGCTTTGAGACCCTCTTTGTGCTTCCCTGGTCTTCCTGACCCCTCTGTACCTTCCTGATTCCTAGTTACTGAATGGACACTGCAAGCTGTCAGTGAGTGGTCTTTCCCTCAAGGGCTGCCCTTGTCATTTTCATGTTAGAGTTGCTAATACTAAGCTCTTTAAAATCAAGAATTAAAAAAACCAAAGATTTCATAAATATTTCTTTAAAAAAGTTAATCGGGACTTTTAATTTTTTTTTTTTTAACTGCAAATGCATAGGCTTTTGCATTGCTTTTGAGATGCCACAGCAAAGCTACCATCTCTTTTTCATGTGTACAAACCCATCCCCTTGTGTTCTGCTACTGGGAATGTAAAATAGCGCAGCTGCTGTAACACTATATGGTGATTCCTTAAAAAAAAAAAACAAAACAGAGGGACCCTGGGGTGGCTCAGTTGGTTAAGTGTCTGCCTTTGGCTCAGGTCATGATCCCAGAGTCCTGGGATCGAGTCCTGCATCGGACCACCTGCTCAGCAGAGAGTCTGCTTCTCCCTCTGCCTGTCACTCCCTCTGCTTGTGCTGTCTCTGACAAATAAATAAAATCTTCAAAAAAAAAGTTAACCATAGACCATCTGATCTGGCAACTCAACCAAAGAATTGAAAGTAGGGACCTGAACAGGTATTTGTACATCCATGTTCACAGCAGCATTATTCACAATAGCCAATAGGTGAAAACAACCCCAATGTCCCCTGTTGAATGGATTAAAAAAATGTGGTACATACAACAGCATATTCAGTCCTGAGAAGAAATGAAATTCTGATAGATG